GTTGAGTTTCCGCTTACTATAAAAATGCTGCAGTAAATATCCATGCTTATAAATTTGCATGCTTCTAAAGAATAAAACAAAATCTCAGTAGTATCATTGCTGAATTAAAGGCATATGCATGTATTTTGAGAATTACTTTCAAATTGCTCTTCCTCAAGGATAGACATCTCAGCTAAATGAATTTATATGCATTGCTTTCTTTCCTTCTTGAAGAGCATTCAGTTTTTGGATCAAAGTGGCATGTTGTTGTTGCTAAGTGTCATCCAGTAGGTTTCAACTCATATTGATCCTTCACAGAGTTTCTGAGGAGCAGCTGGTAGGTTTGAACTGACAACTTTGTGGTTGGCAGTCCAGTGCTTATCCTCCAGTGTTACTCCAGGACTCCATCAAAGTGGCATCTAAAGGATGATTTCAAGTTATGATGTAATCATTTAGTGCTGACTTGTACCTCAGCTATTTATTCTATCAATATTCTGTGGGTGTCTCACACTGTGAATCACAAAACAGCTACTCAGTATTTGGGGATTGCCTGAATTCAGTACAAGGAAAGCAGTGTTAAATTTAGAGACAATGTGAAGACAGAAAATAATTCATCCATTTGGAACAAGATGTGTGTACAATGTGTCCATCTGAAATTTCTCAGAAAAGAAGCCACAAACGTAAAAATTTAGAATTAAAGTAAATCATACAGAGATTATCTGGATAATTCTTATTTTTTGAGACCTATAAACGTTAGAGCCAGAAGTATATCTGAGACCATTCCAGTGCCCCAAATACCCACACTCTGAGAGATCAAGGACCAGCTATATAAGTTATGTTTGTATTCATGTTCTCTGTTCATTTGATCTCTGACCTGAATCTGGGATTCAGCCTGCCATCCAAATCTTTCTTCTCCTTACCTTCTTCCCACACACTCTCAATATCTTCAGTTGGGCACCATATACTAAGTGTTTCTGACACGTCCAAGACTGTGCTAAATGCTAGACACAGAAAGATGACTCACAAAACTTTCTGATCTGGACTAACGTTGTAAATTGGTTTGGTCTAGGTCCAGGCTAGCTATGACTGTGTCTGATAAGATGTAACAGAGTGCAAGTTGAGGGATCAGTGGACATTTAGTGGTAGAACTCTCACTTTTGATGCTGGAGGACCTGCTTACTTCTTGGCCAAGTCACCTTAAGCTAAGCCAAGACTCGTCTGTCAGTGACCTTTTGCTTGTTGTTACAATGCTGAACAGGTTTCAGTAGAGCTTCCAGACTAAGACAGTATAAGGTGAGCTGGAGATTGACTTCTGAAATTCTGTCAATGAAAACCCTGTGGATCATAGATGTTGGTGGTACATGGGGTCACCATAAATTGGAGGCTGACTGGAAGGCAGCTAGTAACAATGCAACTGGGCTTCCAGGAACCAGTTTTCAGTTGTGATTCGTGGTGGAAGTCAGACAGCAGAGATAAAGTATTGCCCCCTTCCCAGAAAGCCTGAAATCAGATCGTAATAGCAATGATTTGCCGCATCTTTATAAAAATCAGCATTGTGTTACAATGAGGTGTGCAGGGATCTGAAGTGAGACAGACTTTCATTTACTTTCTGTGTCTTAATAATTGAATATCTCTGTTTTCTTGTCTCTAAAATGAAGGAAGTTGTTGTTGTATGTAAACCTTTAATATGGTGCTCGACACATAGTAAAAGTTAAGAAAATTATAGCTATTTTGATTATGATTATGCTTAAAATTCCCCAATTTTACCTTTGAGAAGCATGAAAATTCTCTACCAGATTTCTGTTAGGTTGAAAATAGGTTAGAACTTTAAGGAGCAATTTAAAGTTTGTCCTGGATTTGCAAAAACATTTGCAATATACTCTATAATAAGAGTAGTCACTCAATGCCTAGTTGGAGGACTAATTTAGACTTTCAGTCTCCTCCCCATTTTTTAATATGCTATTTGAAAATGAAAACCTAATGGAATCATTTATGAGCACATTAAAAGTGCACCTCCTAAATATAAATATGGCCCTACTGAAGTCACTATTAGGACATTGCTGTATTTATGACACATTGTTGAAATTTAAGGCTCTTCAAGTGAGCCACGTATGACTCAGAAAGTGCCATCTTCTTCTCAGCTTGTATTTTAAGAAATGAATCTTCTTGAAAAAAGAAGAGAAAAAGTTCAAATTCAAAATTATAAGGCAGTCCTCACAATTATATATAAAATTATAATGGAGTCCTGGTGCTATAGGTTAATGCGCTGGATTTCAGAGTCAGTGTGAACTGCAAGGTCAGTGGTTCAAGCTCACCAGCTGCTCTTTGGAAACCCAATACAGGGTCACTAGGGGTTGGAACCAACTCAACAGCACTTAACAAGTACAACAGGTTGATGTTCACAAAATGAATGAGAGTTTTTCTATCACACACACACACACATTAAAAAAAAAAGAAGAGCACACGTCAGAGCCACGGCAAGAACACTGAAGTCCGTATTCACATCTCATAAAAAAAAAAAAAAAAAAAGTAGAAAGCTCAAAACTCAAATGTCATTATTTTTACTTTATAGTCATTATCATAATGATTACAGTAATTTTCCTATAATCATATGGCATCCAAAAAATTAATTTCTTTGAAGTTGAAAATGATTGATTAACAAGAAAAAAAATTAAAATTCTCTTTGCTAGTGAGACAGTTTCCAGTGTCAGAAATAAAAGATCCCTAACATGATGTTTGTGCATCTTATATCAAATTCATTTTTCAGTGCAGTTTTAACATTTGCTTCATTCTAAAAGTTTCTGTCAACTTTTAGTGCATGTCCTAAAACAGAAACGTTATTGTTTCAAAACTGACCATGAGAACAAAAATTCTTTCAGTTTAGCTTACTTTGTTGCTTTTCTCATTAAAAAGAGAGAGAGATGTGAGAATAAATAGTATTTTGTTTTATGAAAAGCCATCTAAAGGATTAGCATGCTTTTCTTATCGTCAGCCCCACAAGAAACCTCTTTCCATTAGATCCTTCATTCATTCATATTCAACAAGCAGTCTTTATTGCATATGTTCTCGGTCACTAGCTCCACACTGTAAAGGCTGGAGTGAAACACTTAGGAGACATGATGCAGTAAGTGGAGAGATGGCAAATCAACAACATTTCTAGCACCCCAACAAGAAAGAATACTATATGCACCCAATTCAGAGTGGGTCAGGCAAACTTCCAGGGAGAGGACGACTTTGGGTGGTGCATTTTGAGGGATGAGTAGGAGCAGATAGAGGAATGTGAAAGTAGAAATAGTATGGCGGGAATGAGAAGTCATTCAGGACAAACGGAGAGTGGGAGGTAGGTTAGGGTAACAAATGTTGTTGTTAAGTGCTGCTGTTGAGTTGGTTCTGAGTCATAACCACCCTATATAAGGTTTCTGAGGCTCTAAATCTGTGCAAAAAACTTCATCTATTCCCAAGGTGTGGCTAGTGGGCTTGAACTGCTGACCTTGTGGTTTGCAGTCCAGTGCTTATCCTACACAGTCACTGTGCTCCCCAGGATAACTGAATAAAAGGGGAGTTAAACAGAAAGGTGAAGTGTTGGTTTTTTGTGCTGTAGGATAAGCACTGGACTGCTAACTATAAAGTCAGCAGTTCAACCCACCTGCCACTCCTTGGAAACCCTATACAGGGTTGCTATGAGTCAGAACCAACTCAAGGGCACTTAACAACAACAACAACAATGAGAAAGGCAGCAGCCAAATTGTATTCTAGAGGCAGTTATTCTAGAGCAGACTAAGGAATTATTTGAAGTAGGAAAGGGAGTTAGTAAGATTTACATTTTAGAAAGATAACTTTAATAACCATGCAGAGCATGGATATATGGATGGCAGAGCAGGCCAGTCAAGTGGCCAAGATGATCACCATAAAAAGATGAAGTCCATAGAAATGAGGAGGAGAACTTTGCTGCAGGATCAGGTGACTAGTTAGTTTCAAGTAGGGAGAGAATGGAGACCCAGATAGGTTTGGGATGTCTGGTTTGGAAATCGGCTCTTCCAATCTCATTGATATTGAAATTATGGGCACTTGGAACAGATTTGGGAAGCATGATATAAAGTACAATATAGGTGACATTGTGAGTAACAGTATATCTGACCGATAGTAACTTTGGGTGAGAGAGAGAAAGAAAAAACAAAACAAAAACAGAGAAAGAGTAAGAGAGAGCAATATGGTGACTAGGATTTGTCCGAGTATAAGAGACCCCCAATGAGATGCATTGGCCAAGTGGCAGCATCGATGGACTCAGGCATGGCAACAGTAGTGAGGTTGGCCCAGGATCAGGCAGTATTTCATTCTGCTATGCATAAGGTCACTATGTGTCAGTACCAACTCTATGGGACCTAACAACAACAACAACAAGAGGTGACTAGAAATGGCTGACTAGAGGAAGACTTACAGAGCAAAGAAGAGGTCAAAACAATCATTTCTCTCCATTACAGAAGATTTCTGATATAAAAAGAGAGAGAATTAGGTCTAGTCTTTTTATTCATTTAACAGATATTTACTGATTATTGTATGGTGGTGTTGTTAACAGCTGTTGAGCAGCTAACTCACAACCATCCCATGTAAAATGAGTCTGGACTGTTGTGTTCCACAGTTTTCATTGGCTAATTATCGCAAATAAATCTCCAGGACTCATCTCGCAATACATTGGTGTTAAGTGCTGTTGAGCCAGTTCTGACTCATAGCAACCTTATATAGGGCCCCCAAGGAGTGGGTAATGGGTTTGAACCACCAACCTTGTGTTCTAGTGCTAATCCTACAGTGCCACATCAGGACTACTTTTGTTGTTGTTGTTAAGTGCTGTCGAGTTGATTCCAACTCGACATTAGAGTATAGTTATTGAAAAAGCAACACCCCAAGGAGAGTAAATAAGAATTGTTTTCTGTATCCATAATCTTATCTATTAGATAATTTTTTATTTTAATATGGGTTCAGGTAAGTTACTATGACTTCTTATTTCTGTCATTTTAATGCAGGATTGTGGATTGCTGATTCACCCGGAGGAGGCCTGTGGATTACAACCTATTTCTTCTGACTACATTGAAGCCATTTCACAGCCTGAACTAAAGATTTGTCCATCAGGAGACACAAAAGGTGACTACCATATTGGTTATCACTTCTCTAAGGAAAAAAACAAAAATCCTTTTATACAGAGTTCTGTGTGTAGGTGTGATGTGTATGATAAGCACTGGACCACAGGGTCAGCAGTTCAAACCCACCAACCCCTCTTTGGAAACCCTATACAGAGTCACTATAAGTCAGAACTGACTCAACAGCACGTAACAGTAACAACAATTCAGTGCTGTTGGAAATTCATTCATTCTTTAGTTACCAATATTTGAGCTTGAGTTTTCTTTATGACCAAGGCACTACTCTTACACTATTTTTCATTGTAATTAAGAATTACAAGACATTCAATTCAGATAAATCTATTATTTCAATATTTGAGAGACTGATCAATCAACTGCTCATCTCAGCACTTCCTCTGACTTTGTGCAGTTAATCCATATTCATCCTACAGATCTCAGCTCAAAAGTCTCTCCCAGCAGTCCAGTGCTTACCCTACAGTGCCACACCAGGACTCTTTGCCTGGTACAAACAGTTCACATACTTGGCTGCTAACAGAAAGGTAAGAGGTTTGAGTTTACCCAGCAAAAACTCCTGGTAAGAAATGCCTGGTAATCTACTTCCAAAAAATTCACCATTGACAATTCAGTGGAGCACAGTTCTACACGGACACACACGGGTAGCTATGAGTTGAAGTTGACTCTGGCAGCTGGCTGGCTCTGTGTGTGCTGTCGAATCAGTTTTGACTTTTAGAAACCTTGTATGGGGTTTTCTGAGGCTATAATTCTTCAGTGGAGCAAAAAGCTTCATCTTTCGCCCACAGAGCACCTGGTGGAGTTGAACTGCTGACTTTGTGGTTAGTAGCCTAACATGTAACCCATTACACCACCAGGTCTCCTTTTGGTTACTGGTTGTTGTTGCTGTTATGTGCTGTGGAGTAGGTTCCGACTCATAGTGACCCTGTACAGGGTTACCGAGGCTGTAAATCTTTACTGGAGTAGAAAGCCTCATCTTTCTCCCGTGGAACAGCTGGTAGTTTCCAACTGCTGACCCTGAGGTTCGCAGCCTGATTCACAACCACTACGCTACCAGAGCTCCTTGGTTACTGGTACCTACACGTTTATTATAGTTACTGGTAGGTACATATTAAATATCTGTTGGTCTTGTAATCGTAAAAACTGCAAAGGATTCAAGTTCAGTTTTATATTACCTTTTCTCACTTTAAAAATGTTTTGAGAATGATCACTAATGTCAGAGTCTGGAAAAATATGATGTTAAATTCAAACCACAGCTTTCAGTCCTACCTACAACTTGAGCAGACTGGAGTGAAATACTTCTGTGTCATTCTTCTCCTACCCTATTTCTCTGCTTCCCCAGCTTTTCCTTCAATGGAGGTTAGAGGGACAAACCAAAGTGGGACTTGAAATGTCCCCAAAGTGCAGAGAGAAGCTTTGAACATCTTCTCTAAACTTCGGAGGTTACTACTCACCTCCTGACCTCACTTTTCCCCTCATCAAAAAAGTCTGAGAAAACAATCAGGAGCTTTTCTACCCTCACCGTGAACTTCACACCACAGCTTGACTGGGAAATGAGTTTCACAAACGGGCAGGACAAATTGCAATTTGGCACGCACAGTTAACAAACGTGGGCATATCCCTGTTCTTGAACATGTGTTCTGAATAATAAATGGCAGCCAGTGCATAGGGAGGGATTTGCCCATTATGGTGTGTCAGGTGCTGTGATTTATGACCCCCTCCTAAATGAGATGCTTACGATTACAGACAAAGGAGACACCAGTGTGCCCAGTTAGATACTTTTTATCAGATGACAGTTTACAATCATCATAAAGCAACTTAATTTTACTCCTCATACTGAATCAAGAACATCATACATGAAGAGAGCAAAAAGTCACTAAGAAGACAAGAAAAAAGGAAAAGGTCAAAATGGATGTCAGAGGAGACTCTGAAACTTGCTCTCCAGTGTAGAGAAGCTAAAGCAAATAGAAGAATCGAAGAGGTCCAAGAGCTGAACAGAAAATTTCAAAGATCAGCTC